TCTATGGGTGAACTTGCAAGTAGAGTTAATGGTTGGACTCGATGATCCCAAGGGTCTTTTCCAACCTGGATGATTCTGTGATTCTGAGATCCTGAGCCTCATTCGCAGCCGTGGCTGTCCTGGCTAGAGCCAAGCTGTCCTCAATTCTGACCGTGTGCCCTGGTTCTCAACTCGTCTGGGTCTGGAGTTCGCCCTCAGCTACCCCTCACCTCGCCTGCTGACCTGCCACCTCCCCAGGCACATCTTCCCCAAGTCCTTCTCCCATTCCAGCGCCAAGGTGGGACGGTCACCCATGCGGAGCTTCAGGAGGGGCAGGGGGGCTGGGAAGACCATTGCCCGAGGTTTGAGGAACCTTGGAGTAAGGGGGTGTTGGGCAAGGACATTGACATTGGCCTGGGAGAGTGGCGAGTGTTCTCCATGCCCTTCAGATGGAAATGTGCAGAGCTCCATCTCACGTCCTGCGCTTCTTGAATACTTTAGAGAGTCTCCAACAGCTCTAGGGGACTTGGGTGTTCCTGGAGACCCCTGTCCAAAGTCTGCGTGCTGGAGTCTAGCCCAGAGTCGGTCCTTGTGTGGCAGACCCCTCTATTTTCAGATCTATTCCCCCTCCCCTACCAGGAGAGTATCACTCCTGTACGCACTCTGCTCCAGGTTATTTACACTCTGCGGGATCCTCGAGATGTTGTTGTCTCCTACTACTACTTCTCTAAGATGTGCAACAGCTACGAAGATCCCACATCCTTCAAGCAGTTCCTGAGGGACTTTCTGAATGGAGAATGTGAGTGTGGTCTGAGGCTTACTCAGAGCATGGGGGTGGGCGGGTGGTGTCTTTCATGACCTTTGGCTCAAGGGTCTTCAGGAAGCCTTGGCCAAGAAGCCCTATAAAGCCCCAGCAGGACCTTACCCATGAGCCTTGGATGCTTCAGCCTTTTTCTGCTGTGAAGGTGGCTGGAGATGAACCCATTGCTCAGCTGAACCTTCCAGTCCCACCTGCTGGACATCGCTGCTCTGTCCTGCATCGTGACTGCCCTGCTCGTGACCTTCTGTGAAACCTCCTCGACCTTGTGCATCCTCTGCCCTGCTCTGTCCTGATCTGCTGCCTTTCGCCTCCCATCAGTGCCTCACGGCTCCTGGTTCGTACACATCCAAGGCTGGCTGGAATTGAAGGACAGCCAGAATTTTTTCTTCATCACCTATGAAGAGCTGAAGCAGGTGGACACCCTAGCAGACTCTCCAACTCCAAATATGCTGCTGTGTCACAAGTCACTCGGTGGTAACAGGCTCTGTCTGTCCCTCCAAGACCTGCACAGCAGCGTGAGACGTCTGTGCCAGTTCCTGGGCCAGGATTTGGACGCCGCCGTCGTCTCTGCAGTGGTGCAAAATGCCTCCTTCACAGCCATGCGGAACAACCCAATGTGCAACTCCATCCTCCTGCCTGCAGACGTCATGGACCAGACGAAGGGCCGGTTCCTGAGGAAGGGTGAGCTCAGAGGAGCCCCATCACATCCCCTTGGGGAGAGTTCTCCCATCAGGTGTCCTCTCCTATGAAGACAGCCTGAGGGTGTCTTGGAGAGTTAAGAAAGACAGAGGTTTACTGGAGAGAGTCCAATGGAGAGCTACGAGGAAAATCAAGGGACTTGAACATCCCTCTTATGAGGAGAGACTGAGAGAACTGAGGCTGTTTAGTCTTGAGAAGAGAAGGCTGAGAGGGGATCTTACTAACATATACAAGTATCTTAGGAGTGGGTATCAAGAGGAACGTGCCAGTCTCTTCTCAGTGGTGCCCAGTAACAGGACAAGGAATAATGGGTATAAGCTAGAACATAGGAAGATCTACCTCAACATGAGGAGGAACTTCTTTACTGTGAGGGTGACAGAGCCCTGACACAGGCTGCCCAGAGAGGTTGTGGAGTCTCTGGAGACTTTCAAACCCACCTGGATATGTTCCCATGTGGTCTGCCCTGGGTGATTCTACTTTGGCAGGAGGGTTGGACTAGATGATCTGTAGAGGCCCCTTCCAGCCCATAACATTCTGTGATTCTATGATTCTACGATCATGGTGCATTTGGGTCTGAAGAATGGGGTCTACAGATTCATAGGGTAGAATCATACAATGGTTCAGGTTGGAATGGACCTTTGAAGGTCATCTAGTCCAATCCCCCTGCAGTGAGCAGGGGCATCTTCAGTGAGATGAGGTTGCTCAGAGCCCGGTCCAACCTTCCTTGAATATTTCCAGAGATGGTCCCTCATTTTGGAGAACTCTTCTCGAGGTCGTAGCTGGATCTGAGAGCAGAGCCTCTCCTTTTGTTCCAACAGAGCAGAGCAGGAGGGAGGACTACAAGCTGTGGAGGAGGGCTCTGAGCAGAAATTCTTCTTCCTCAGGCATCTATGGGGACTGGAAGAACCATTTCACAGTGGCACAGAGCGAGACCTTTGACAAGATCTACCAGGAAAGGATGCAGGGCCTGAACATGCTCTTCCCTTGGGACAAACGTTAGGATTTGTCCCTATCTGAAGCCGGCTAAGCACCAACAACAACAGCTGATGTGACCTGCTGTCGGACAGAGCAGGATCTGTCCAGGTCTGCAACCGATGCTGAACCACAACATGCCAGCCGATAATTTGCACCCTTTCTCATTGGGAGAGTTTTTTTTGGGGTTGTGACTCTCTTCTCTGTCCCATCCCTCAACCCTTCGTTTCCCTGAAGCAGGCTCTAGGGTCTCCTGGTGTAGGACCCTCTACCTTGACTTTAATAAGGCATTTGACACTGTTGCCCACAGCGTTCTTCTAGACAAACTGACTGCTCCTGGCTTGGATGTGCATACGCTTTTCTGAGTGAAAGAACTGGGTTTGTTTAGTCTGGAGAAGAAGAGGCTGAGAGGAGACCTTATTGCCCTCTACAACTACCTAAAAGGAGGCTGTAGTGAGGCTGGTGCTGGTCTCTTCTCTCTAATTACTAACGACAGGACAAGGGGAACCGGCCTCAAGTTGCGTCAGGGTAAGTTTAGATGGGATATTCGGAGGAAGTTCTTTACTGAACCAGTGGTGAGGCACTGGAACAGGCTGCCCAGGGAGGTGGTGGAGTCACCAATCCTGGAGGTGTTTAAAAAAAAGTAGATCTAGCACTTGAGGCTGTGGTGTAGTGGTTAGGTGTGCTGGGATGAAGGTTGGACTAGATGATCTTCAGAGGTCCCTTCCAACCCCTGACATCCTGTGATTCTGTGATTCTGTGAATGGTCAAGCCAAAGAGTTGTGGTGAATGGAGTTAAATCCAGTTGTCAGCCGGTCACGAGTAGTGTCCCTCAGGGCTCAATGCTGGGACTGCTCCTGTTTAACATCTTCATCAATGATTTGAGGGGATAGAGTGCACACTTAGTAAGTCTGCAGATGACACCAAGCTGGGTGGAACGCCAATCACATGAGTTTCAGTAAAGCCAAATGCTGGATCCTGCCC